GGCCATATTCTGCTTCGCACAAATGTGCTCTTTCCAACACATTTTCCATGACCTTTCGCAAAACTTCCGGTGGTATGTTGTTAATTTCTTCTCGAATATTGGTTTTTAACTCCTCAATAGTCCTAGGCTTATTAACATAAACTTTTCCTTTTAAATAGCCCCAAAGAAAACAGTCTGGAGCGGTTAAATCCGGGGAACGCGGAGGCCAATTAAAATTGCTGTTACGAGAAATTATTCTTTCACCAAAGATGTCGCGTAAAAGAGTCATTGTGGCCCTCGCAGTGTGCGCTGTGGCTCCATCCTGTTGGAACCATATTTGCGGATGGTTTTCCACGGCTGGCCTTACAAAATTTTGCAACATGGCCCGATATCGATCACCATTGACGGAAATGGCGACACCTTGTTCATTTTCAAAAAAAAATGGGCCAATGATCCTTTCTGAAGAAACACCGCACCAAACGGTACACTTAACTGGGTGCAATTGTCGTTGATGAAGTACTCTCGGGTTTTCCGTAGCCCATATCCTACAGTTTTGCTTGTTAACGAACCCATTTAATTGAAAATGGGCTTCGTCACTCATTATTAAGTTATGAATAAAATTTGGATTCTCTTGTGCTTTTTGCTGGAAATAAATTGCATAGTCAAGTCGTTGCTGGTAATCTGTTGGTTTCAATTCTTGGACAAGTTGAATTTTGTATGGAAACAATCCTATGGTGTGCAAAATTCGCTGCAGCGACGTTCTTGAGAGGCCCAGTTGTGACGAACGTCTCCTGGTTGATGTTTCTGGATCCTCCCGAATACTCTCCTGTACCACTTGAATATTGTCAGCCGTGTGGACAGTTCGGTGTCTGCCGGGACCAGGAAGGTTCCTTACTGCTCCTTGTTCTCGAAAATTTGCAACCAGACGGTTTATTGTTGACTGAGAGGGTGCAACCCGCACATTAAATTGACGACGGTATGCACGCTGAGTCAACACAATGGACCGTTGATTTGAAAAGTAAATTTCAACAATTTGGGCACGTTGTTCAATTGTGTATTGCTCCATTATAAATTATCCAAGTCTTCTTTACAAAATACTGAAAAGAAAAGAAAAAAAAATTATAATAAAAAAGTTATAAGGAATTCACACCACTTCGGTCTTTCTGGGCCACCCTGTATTAAGTAAGTAATTACTTAAGTAATACAATACCTTTTATAGTTACAATGTTCTATTTACGTAACAGTAAATAGGGAAATAGTCTTAAACCATTTGTTAGCATGGTTTTTATCATAGCTAGACAAATAGTTGAAAACATAGTTGAAATTAAAAAAAAAAAAAAAAAAAAAAAACAATAATAAATGAAGTTGATTTAGAGGCTAAAAACAACAGGACCTCTTAGAACGCTTCGCTCATATACATTTTGCTAGTTCATCAAATAAAAGCAAAAACAACGAGTTAATGAGAAAAGGGAAAATAATCGACACTAGATGAACCATAGTTGCAAATAAATAGCAAATAAAAGATTCAGAAAGTTCAGTGTCGTAACACTACACAATGCCTGCAATACTATTTAACTTAGCTGCTTTCTATAACAACGAGTTAAATGAAAAAGGGAAAATAATAACATAAAACAAATAATTTTTCTATAACCGCTAGGTACATACGGATACGGTTTGCCTTAGTCAGGTAGCTACAATGTTGCAAACGTGACTCTACTGATTGCGTAATTAGAGTATCCTGTGCCCGAGCTGTGGCTAGTTCGGCGAAGTCGATAGTCGTTGGGCGCGTTATTGTTTCCGCTCGAAATAACGCGTCAGCAACTGTGTTCTCCGAACTGCCTATGTACCTAGCGCAGTAGCTTGACGTCACATACTACTAATGTCTACACTATTGTTCTATTTAATCTAATGACTAAACCTAATTTTTCGCTCTAGCACGCACAGGCGGTGGTTGCCCAAGTCTTCTTGGCTGACTCGCTGGACCTCGCTACCCGCTGTTCTCTCGGCTGTGATGCGTTCTGTTCCCCGCTTTGTAGGTCACCAGAAGCTTATTACTTGAATTAATAACGTTGTGCCCATGGAATAATTAATCTGCGTGGCGTTGCGTGCGTCGTAACTCTGGAGGCGGAATTATGGCCTCTAATTACGTGACCCATAATTTGGCAGTCCCCTCTCGACGGGGCGAATCTGCTTGCCATCCTAATTGAGTGTAAAATGCGACGTACTTTCCTCTTTGTTCGTTGCAGCTCTCGGCGTTTGATCGCAGCCGGATGCGCGTTTCCTCTTCGGTCGGTACGACTCTACGGCGTTTGATCGCAGCCGGATGCGCGTTTCCTCTTCGGTCGGTACGACTCTACGGCGTTTGATCGCAGCCGGATGCGCGTTTCTTCCCTGATTGGACGAATCTACGGCGTTTTGTCACGGCGGGATGCGCGTTTCTTCTTTGTCCGTATGAATGTACAGCGTCTGATCGCGGCCGGATGTGCGTAATTCGATATTGCCACCCGACTCGTTATGTCCGCCCGCCTGGTTAAAACGTTGGAGGATTAAAACTTTCGGAGTCACTACTGTACTTTAACTAATTGATGTGTTCACTTTTGATTACGTCAGGTGCGCGTTTCTTTCTTCGACGGGGATGCGTTTCTTCTTCGTTGGGGTTGTGCGTTTCTTTCTTCGTCGGGGTCACCACTTTAACTACCTAAATGATGTGTGTCGGGGTCACCACTTTAACTACCTATCGATGGTGTTGTTTAGAGATGGAATGAATACTCGGTTTAGGTAGTTAACTAAAAGTTTATTGTATCGCACGACACATATATGAAATATACAGAGAAAGGTTTAACCAGGCGGGGGGAGTCGGGTGCGCGTATATATGCGTGATCGCTACCGAGGCTTGTAGCTGACTGACTGTCGCGTCTCTGCGTCCGCCTGGCTTCGTACGGAAAATGCTAACATAACATAATAGCTTAGGGCTGTCGACACAATAGCATAGGGCTGTCGCCACAGGTAAAAGCTTTTCCACCACTAAACCTAGATTTATAAACTATATTTACTGTTACAATGTTCATAAACACATGTCTGTGATACACCTTATTTTAATTTATTAAATATTAAGTATCCTTTCACTCAACTCAAGCGAAAGGACCTCTCCAAAGTAAGACTATTGTAGCTAAATAATTTCTACTATCAGTAGCACAATGACTATAACCATGACCCAAAAAGCAGAATACATCTGAGTCACGGACCAGGCAGGAATCATCAGAGTGTGGCTGACCACACTTTTAGCGGCGGGGCTGAGGCATACATTGTTTAGCAATGTAGCCATACCGACAACAATTCCTGCATTGAATAGTAGGTAATTGATAAAGAGACACAGGCAGAGATGCATTAAAGCAGATTTTTTTTCAGAAAGGCTCTGTCCCAAAAATGTGAGAACTACAGAGTTAGATGGGACCCAAACAGAGTGTATCGGCCGCTTGGCGATACATAGATAAGGTGGGCTGACTAAAGGGAAAGAATAGGGTATGGAATATATATTTGAGGTCCTAGTATAAGATGTGAATCGTGGATGTACTTACTGGTGTTGCGCTGCGGGTGACGCTGCTGGGTTGTTGTTGGAGGTAAAGGCTGGTTGAAACCGCGTGGTCACTAATTGTCTGGTAACTTATTTTACTGAGTTTATTTTCACTCACGGGCCACTGTTTATAGTTTGTAACGGGACACACACAACTTAATTAGTTCGTTGCCACACGAATTTAAAGTCAAGTATTACGCTATGTTTGCTTTTTTATTACATTGAAACGCCGAAACACCTCTCCACAATTTTGTGGGATAGAGATTCCAGAAATGAGCTCCTCCAGAGTCCAGTCATTTGGAATATTCCTACCAACACCCATACGAATAATTTGAAAACATGGAATATTTGCTAAATAATTATTTTCACTTACGATGGAGGAATTCAGGAAATTTGTTAGCAGATAAAGCTGAGGTGAATTCCACACCGACGTTATTGCGACCCATATTTCTACAATGTTCGGTATTCTATGTTTAAATAGGAACTGGGCGAATTGATGGCCCTTGTCTGACGCTGTGTATTCAAGCCTAGAATCCGACTCAACTTCGGTTTAGAGTAAACTGATTGGATGGATTCAGCTAGTGAGTCAACTTTCTTTACATCAAAGTCAACAGAAAAGACTGAGTCTGACTGTCGCTTTCCTGTTTTTGGTTTGTCAGGGGGTAATACACCGCCCTCATCAGGGGGGTCATCCGCGCTCATTTCCGAAGAAATAAGCGTGGTTGGCTACTTACACTAACATAACTAAAAACGCTTCTTTAAAAACAATAGACGTTGATAATTCTGATGGAGTTTCTAGTCCCTAATTGCGTCAAAATATGCTGATTTTTGTCCGCCATGTTATAAATTTTTCCTAGTATTATTATTAATATGTCTTTATCTGTTGCTTTTATTAAAATGTTTGTGTGTTTTATACTTTTATTGTTTTAATATGCATTACAATCTCTGTGTCTGCTTCTATTTGATTGGTGTTATTTTTGGAGACTTTCCGTACGTCTATTAATCTTTGTGCGATATTGTACTCAACAGCGATAGAGTCGCTATCTTGCTCTACTGACGCGGAAATTAATACATCTATCGATATAGGTATTCTGAGATGATTCTGTTGCTGTGTACTAGTCTCTTTCAAAAACTCATTAACTCTGTATTCTCGCATTAGCGCGCACAGCTGTTCGAAATCAATGATCACGACGTTTTCCTCTCTAGCTGACGCGTAAATGTGTGGCGTAGTTGGCGGCTGCTAGTGCGCGAAGCTGATCCACCAAGCCAACATTTAACTGCCGATGTAGATATATCCCATCCGCAACGTAATTCATTCGGGAACATTAGATCTGACGTGAGATTCTGTATTCTTACTAAGCGGAGTCTTAGAGTCAGCGGTGGCGACGGATAGTTCACTCACACGCCCAAGTACTTTGGCATCTTGAAAGGACCTCGCATAACTCTCCTAGAGGACCCTCTTTTGGTTTACATAGTTTAATAATATCAGGTACTCAGGTACTCGAAACCGCGCGAGGTATCTACGAGCAACATGCATCTTCAATACCATCTCAGATAGATCAAGCGCTAAAGCGCACTCTATTTCCAATGTTTTGGAGCGTGTGGAGTTAGAAGCGCGCATTCCTCCTCTGGCGAGACTTTTCGCTAAATATAGAATGGTGCGTCCTTTTATAACGTGACATATCGCAGTATCGATATTGTCCCGTTCCGCATTCTCCATCATCTGCTCTGTAGGTCTAAGACCATTACGAGCCATGCCTTTTAAATTTTGTCGTTTTAAGAAAAAAACACAACTAGAACCTTATAGTATTTTTTATTGTTTTTCAAAGTATGCACCACGTAGCTTAATACACTTTTCCTTTCGCTCAAACAGTTATTATAACATTTATTCCACTCTAAAGTGGGGGTGTTCAAAATGGCTGACTTGAAAGCGTCGACTGCTTCTTCACCACGAAGATTTTTCTTAATTTTAGGAAATGTAAAGAAATCATTAGGGCTTAGGTCAGGACTGTATGGAAGATGGTCAAGAATTTCTACTTTTTCCTGCTTCCAATACTCAATCTTTTGACGAGCACTGTGTGAGCTTGCGTTGTCGTGGTGCAGGATGATGCGTCGCTTTGAGTTAGATTTTCGAAGTTCGGCGACGACTTGTGGTAAACCTTATTTTAGCAGACCGTTTAAAAGGGTAGTAGTTATTTGCTAGGTGTAATAGTAGCTATTTCTGTATGCTGAGAGATTGCATTCTAATACAAGTCAACTAAGGAATCAAAACCTTTGTACATACAATCACTGCGAGAGAAGGAAAACTCGAAACTACATCCTATACACCAACAGACTGTCAGGAAAGCGTAGTACAAGGAGCCTAAATTCCTCTTTATTTTTTAGAAAAGTCTAAGTCCTGTGGTGGACTGCAAAAGGCTATTACTGATTGACTGACTTTAGAAAGAAATAGAACGACATCGTTCAGCTTTTTATTTATTCGTCTTCACCATCATCGTTTAGAAAAATTGAATCGAGGAATTCTGCAGGTGCAGATAATGTTATCTTCATGTCGTGCCTATCTTAAATACCAGACAATTGTCATGGTATGAGCGCAGCAGCCTACAGTGCGGCGTTCAACCAAGCAATTGCACTAATATTCTATAATGCCTGATCGACTATGTAAATTATTTTTAACTAAAATATAGACATAATATTGTCTTCTACTACTAAACTAAGCAAGCTAGGCTAAGCTAAGCTAGAAATAAATAGCATGCACACCAAGAGCTAAGCCAAAGCTCAGTCAGTGTAGCGAAGTTCAAATAGAGGGATGACTCTCGCCATGAATATAATCGATGGAGAAAGTTCCGATGATGAATACGTTACACATAGAAAAAGAAGATTAATACTGACTTATTATTATTTAAGGAAAAGACATTCCAAATCTTGGATATGTCAACACATTCAATCTTGGCACACAAGTGGAGAGTTTAGAAGTTTATTTTACGAGTTAGATGATGCACATTTTCAGTTATATTATCGTGTTACAAGAGTTCAGTTTTATGATTTGTTATCATTGATTATCGGAGATATTACTAAACAAGACTCTTATTATAGGAAGGTTATAACCCCCAGAAGAAAAATTTGCTATTTGTTTGAGGTAAGCAAAACAATTTTAATTAATTTTTTTTTATTGGTAAATGCCGCAAAGGTTATATTAAAAATTATCTAAGGTATCGTTTTGAGCTGGTGTCGAGAAGTTGGATGATGATGAGTACCCGTATTGGTAAGTCTGCCTAGACAAATAACTTTTTACATTTTCTATGCTTCGTTTACAATTTGGAAAACTGTTTTTTACATCATACATACTGTCAGAAAACAAATTCAACGGATGTCTGTGTTTCTCCGCCTCTTAGCTACTGGTGACTCCTTTAGAACAATTGGATACAATTACAGAGTGGGTAATAATACAGTTTCTTTGATTGTTAAAGATGTGTGCAATGCACTTTGGATTCAATTTACAGACCAGACCTATGCCAAAGACTTAAATCACAGATAACACAGTTCAATATAAGTCGGTTAAAAAAAAAGGAATATAAAAAAAAGTGCAAATTTAGAACAAAATAAATACAATAAAATAATGCCGAATCGGAGCACCATTGGTAACACGGGTCACTCATCTGGACGACGCGACGGCAGCGGCCAATGGCGGCAAATTCAAAATGAGCCTAGCGACGCGGCGACGCGACGGCGGAGGCGCCGCGTCGAGCTCCGAATATTACATTCTTATCACTAATCAGTTACTTCACTTGCTTTTTATTTAAAATCACTATATCAATTTATTAAAATATGAATACTACTCGCAACAGTTTATATTCACTAGCTCAATATTTGCTTAATTTTTTATTTAATAAGAATAAACTTTATTGTACACCAGTTAAGTACATCATACATACAATAGTAATCAAATTAATTTAAATTTTTAGATTATCAATGTGCCTAGCGTTCACATCAATGCATCGAATACACCTTCGCATCATGTTGCCTCGTATTTTAGCACACAAGTTGTCATTTGCTGCTAAAGCTCTTAGTTTATTAAATGCACTTATTATCCTCGATCTTAGGTTTTCTATTGAAGTGACGTCTGTTACGTACACTTCATTTTTCACACATCCCCTAAGAAAAGTCTAAGGCCGTGAGATCTGGTGATCTAAGTCGCCATCGTATAGGCCCATAGCGTCCTATCCACTGTTCACCAAACATGTGACTGGCAGCCACCACTGATTGGGCAGGCGCTCCGTCTAGCTAGTACCACAAACGCCTGCTTTGAGCTACAGACAGTTGATCTGTATAGTCAGACACTGGGCCATCAAGCAATTCCAAAAACCTGATAGCAGTCAAATTTGCATTAATGAAAATTGGACCAATTATCTGATTGCCGTGAATTGCTGCCCATATGTACATTCAACGAAAAACGGTACTGGTGAGAAGATTCGCGTATAGCATGAGGATTTTCCCTGGTCCAATATCGCAAGTTTTGGCGATTCCATATACCATTACGTGTGAAGTTACTCTCGTCAGTCCACATGATGTTGGATAGGAATTCAGGGTCATTCGTTACCTTTGACAGTAACCACTGACAGTACACTCTTATGGGTTGATCTCTGTTTAATAAAGCCGGTACTTTTCGAAATCTGAAAGGCCGTCGTTTATGAGCCTCTAAAATATCGTGGACTTTTTTGTGGTGAACACTGAATTGACGAGCAGCCCTACTTAAACTGCATGTAGGGTTACGGTGTTCGCGAAGCTAACTCGACATCACGTGGCACCAAACTTTTTTTGTCTCGTAATCTTTGTACCGCCCTTATAAAAATTCGGCTGTCTGTTGGACATACACGAGTGCTTCCATATCTCTCACGGTATGTCCGTAAAGCTAAAAAAGCGTTTTGATGGCATTCCCCGTAAATTAAGACCATGTCAGTATACTCCGGGTCTGTAAAGGTCACTCGCGGCATTATGAATGCTATCATATTTAGCGCTGTTCTATTAAACCTATCTCCTGTATCGTTTGACAAACCGTCGAGCTGAGTGAGTGCATTGTGATTTTCTTTGAATTTGACGATATGTTTTCTATGTATGCAGTGATAACAATCTAGTGGGTGCCCGCCAACACTGCATTTCCATTCTCTGGGATGGGTGGAACAGGATTCCATGAAACTGCAAGCACTGGACGCTTCTGACTCATTAGAAATCGAGAATAGCTCTCCACATGCATTGATGTGCAAAGATATTCCTCCATTATGGTCTTGACACATCTTATTGTTTGTGTTTATGCAAATATCAGGTTGTGCTTCTTCTTCTCCGTCGTCACACTCTTGTCAGAGTGGTCGTGGTCGTCATGACCATTTTTTTTAGGTTGTGCTTGGGTGGCCACAATTATAGGAATTAATGACAAAAGGAGTCTTCTGCTTTTTAACGACATACTGTATGCGTACTTGATTTCTATTTCTTCTTTTTTCTTTTTTTTATGAATGTTAATATTAATAATTAAATATAATTAAAACACTAGTAAGAAACCTAGTTTACACTACACAGACACACACTCCACAACAAAACTAATATTGTTATTTTCAAAATAAATTAGCGGGACTCGTTGCAATACAACAAAGTCTTGCACCAACTGACTGTAGACCGTCTGACGCTACTCTACTTTCTAGAATCCGGCAGTCATCGAATATTAAATAATTAAATCAATGCTGCCAATTGTCAAAGCTCGAAAATCATTTTTATAATGAGTTTGCCCGTAGTACTCATTACGTACTGTAAATAAAACTTTTAATATAAACAATATAATTTACGCAGCCTAATAATTAGTGTTGGGCAACACAGTTCACATTAAAAATTCAGTTCACTAAATCCCATTCAGTAAAATGAACTAGTTACATCTAAATCACTCCACAGTTCATTCCGCTCTGTGACTCTGTGAGTTGCAGCAATTTGACACAATTCATGTCTCTTTATGAGTCAGTGAGTTGCATTGAGTTGGCTACGAGTTCATGAACTGTGAACGAGAGAATATGATTATAGTTTATTGATTTATACATTTCGATTTCCCTTCATACTTTCTTCAGACTTAGGACTAACAATTAAAATGACAAATATATAAAATAACAATAATATGTATAAATTTCACTTTAAAAGGCGGTCTTTAAAAAAAGGTCATTAATAATTGTATTTACAATAATTAAAGACCTTTTTTTGTTTTTATTACTTTAGTATTGTTGTATTGCTTATTATTTTTTATTTTCTTTTAATAACCAAAGAATAAATTAGTTCTTCATAGCAACACGTGGTCAAAGTAGATATCTTATTTTACATGTTTCCATGTAAAAAAAGTGGCTGTGATACCTTTTCAGGATTAAATAAAGTGCGGCGTGCTCTTAAAATATCGCCAGCCTTCGAATAAATCCTTTCGCATGGCACGGAGGTAGCGGGTATGCATAGTCGTTTTAACATATATTGGTATAAATTCGGATATATATTTTTTCGGTCATACCATCATTTTAGTGGATCCGATTTTCTCGGTATTAGTCTTCTTTGATGTAGCGTCTACTTCAATAATTGCTTCAGCAGCAGAATTAAGAGGTACCGTTGCCAAGATTTCTTTGTCAATGTCATGCCAAAGGTTGTCATTTGCTTCTGCAATATTTGTATCGCTGGCTGAGGGAACAATTATATTTACGCATTTGTGACTCCTGAGTTGCAGACGTTCATGGGCGACGATGGTCACATTCCATCAGGTGACCCGGACATAAAAAAAAACATTAGAAATAGAGACGCTGGCTATTGCAGATGTTTTTCTCCTCATTTCTTTCACCGCGTTTTCATATTTTGTAACGCAGTTAAATCCGATTTTTTTTTAATCTCGGATCAAGTATCGTGGCTTCAGAATGTAACACCGATGATTCGATATCACCAAATCTTCTAAATATATCATCATCAAGTTTTTTAATGAGACATTGAACTGGTTGTGAGTAGGTCTTTAAGTCTTTAGGCTTTTGTTTTTACCTTCCACATGCAACTCCACATAAGAGAGATGTGGTGTTGTGGCAGAGCTAGACTCAGGTGGTGATTGGCCTGAAGCAGATTGCTCCGGTTGATGCAAATGTTGAGAAGCTAAAATTTACAAGTTTTCTATAACTTTTCATCAAAAACAATTAAGTATTTTGTCCAGATACTAATTATATACATATACAAAAATTATTTAATTGACACAAGTCATATTCAATAGTCAGTTATATAGTTGGCTACAAATTAAAAAAAAACACTGACTGGGACTCTTAAAGGATTCTTATTTAGGAATTGCTATAAAACAGTATAGCTACTGCAATGTAAGATGGTTTCTGTAATATTAAAAAATTTAAAAAAATATATAATTGTGGGTGTACTGAATGTACTTGTGTAATGTTAATGTTACCTGTGTTCTAAACAAACAAACAAACTAACTGGGGGCACCACAAATACTAACAAACAATTAAACTCGGGCGCCAGATGCCCCAACCTAAATGAACACAGACAACCAACAACAAATACAATAAATGCCTCGGACAACTCGGTCAGCGCTAGACTTTTAATCTAGGATGGGGGGCAGCTATTAAATACAAAGATGTTAAGTTCAAGTGGCAGTTTATTATCCCGTAGTGTCTGTAGAGTACATGGTATCTTAAGGCTCTAATTACAATAGGTAATTCTTATACTCCAATTAGTACTGTCGTTATTGCAATCTGTTTCAAATAAACGAATAAAACAAACTAAAATTAAATATGTTTTAAGAGTCACATAAAGACTTAATAAGAAATGAATCTAAGGGTAGTTGTAGCATCGACCTACTCCCTTAATAAAAATAACACCCCTTGGGGACCTGCAGTATCCGATGCCACGACGCCAAACAAATTAATAAAAAAAACATACCTAATGACCTTGGCTCAGTCCGAATGGGTTACGGTGTTCGCGAAGCTAACTCGACATCACGTGGCACCAAACTTTTTTTGTCTCGTAATCTTTGTACCGCCCTTATAAAAATTCGGCTGTCTGTTGGACATACACGAGTGCTTCCATATCTCTCACGGTATGTCCGTAAAGCTAAAAAGCGTTTTGATGGCATTCCCCGTAAATTAAGACCATGTCAGTATACTCCGGGGCTGTAAAGGTCACTCGCGGCATTATGAATGCTATCATATTTAGCGCTGTTCTATTAAACCTATCTCCTGTATCGTTTGACAAACCGTCGAGCTGAGTGAGTGCATTGTGATTTTCTTTGAATTTGACGATATGTTTTCTATGTATGCAGTGATAACAATCTAGTGGGTGCCCGCCAACACTGCATTTCCATTCTCTGGGATGGGTGGAACAGGATTCCATGAAACTGCAAGCACTGGACGCTTCTGACTCATTAGAAATCGAGAATAGCTCTCCACATGCATTGATGTGCAAAGATATTCCTCCATTATGGTCTTGACACATCTTATTGTTTGTGTTTATGCAAATATCAGGTTGTGCTTCTTCTTCTCCGTCGTCACACTCTTGTCAGAGTGGTCGTGGTCGTCATGACCATTTTTTTTAGGTTGTGCTTGGGTGGCCACAATTATAGGAATTAATGACAAAAGGAGTCTTCTGCTTTTTAACGACATACTGTATGCGTACTTGATTTCTATTTCTTCTTTTTTCTTTTTTTTATGAATGTTAATATTAATAATTAAATATAATTAAAACACTAGTAAGAAACCTAGTTTACACTACACAGACACACACTCCACAACAAAACTAATATTGTTATTTTCAAAATAAAATTAGCGGGACTCGTTGCAATACAACAAAGTCTTGCACCAACTGACTGTAGACCGTCTGACGCTACTCTACTTTCTAGAATCCGGCAGTCATCGAATATTAAATAATTAAATCAATGCTGCCAATTGTCAAAGCTCGAAAATCATTTTTATAATGAGTTTGCCCGTAGTACTCATTACGTACTGTAAATAAAACTTTTAATATAAACAATATAATTTACGCAGCCTAATAATTAGTGTTGGGCAACACAGTTCACATTAAAAATTCAGTTCACTAAATCCCATTCAGTAAAATGAACTAGTACATCTAAATCACTCCACAGTTCATTCCGCTCTGTGACTCTGTGAGTTGCAGCAATTTGACACAATTCATGTCTCTTTATGAGTCAGTGAGTTGCATTGAGTTGGCTACGAGTTCATGAACTGTGAACGAGAGAATATGATTATAGTTTATTGATTTATACATTTCGATTTCCCTTCATACTTTCTTCAGACTTAGGACTAACAATTAAAATGACAAATATATAAAATAACAATAATATGTATAAATTTCACTTTAAAAGGCGGGTCTTTAAAAAAAGGTCATTAATAATTGTATTTACAATAATTAAAGACCTTTTTTTGTTTTTATTACTTTAGTATTGTTGTATTGCTTATTATTTTTTATTTTCTTTTAATAACCAAAGAATAAATTAGTTCTTCATAGCAACACGTGGTCAAAGTAGATATCTTATTTTACATGTTTCCATGTAAAAAAAGTGGCTGTGATACCTTTTCAGGATTAAATAAAGTGCGGCGTGCTCTTAAAATATCGCCAGCCTTCGAATAAATCCTTTCGCATGGCACGGAGGTAGCGGGTATGCATAGTCGTTTTAACATATATTGGTATAAATTCGGATATATATTTTTTCGGTCATACCATCATTTTAGTGGATCCGATTTTCTCGGTATTAAGTCTTCTTTGATGTAGTCTTGTTTGATCTCAGCAGAATTAAGAGGTACCGTTGCCAAGATTTCTTTGTCAATGTCATGCCAAAGGTCGTCATTTGCTTCTGCAATATTTGTATCGCTGGCTTAGGGAACAATTATATTTACGCATTTGTGACTCCTGAGTTGCAGACGTTCATGGGCGACGATGGTCACTTTCCATCAGGTGACCCGGACATAAAAAAAAACATTAGAAATAGAGACGCTGGCTATTGCAGATTTTTTTCTCCTCATTTCTTTCACCGCGTTTTCATATTTTGTAACGCAGTTAAATCCGATTTTTTTTGAATCTCGGATCAAGTATCGTGGCTTCAGAATGTAACACCGATGATTCGATATCACCAAATCTTCTAAATATATCATCATCAAGTTTTTTAATGAGACATTGAACTGGTTGTGAGTAGGTCTTTAAGTCTTTAGGCTTTTGTTTTTACCTTCCACATGCAACTCCACATAAGAGATATGTGGTGTTGTGGCAGAGCTAGACTCAGGTGGTGATTGGCCTGAAGCAGATTGCTCCGGTTGATGCAAATGTTGAGAAGCTAAAATTTACAAGTTTTCTATAACTTTTCATCAAAAACAATTAAGTATTTTGTCCAGATACTATTATATACATATACAAAAATTATTTAATTGACACAAGTCTTATATAGTTGGCTACAAATTAAAAAAAAACACTGACTGGGACTCTTAAAGGATTCTTATTTAGGAATTGCTATAAAACAGTATAGCTACTGCAATGTAAGATGGTTTCAAAACCTAATTCTTATTTATCTAGATAAAAAAAATAATTTCTTACTTTGAACTTCTTCCTCTACGAATGTATGTGGAGGAGGAGATATAGCCCTTGTTGGTGGTGGTGATGCTGGTACAACTGGTACTGAAATACAGATAACTATGTAAGTATTTCATAACTAAATACTACTAAAAGTTATTGATTAATTCTTTTGATATACAATGATCATCGTTAACCTTCTATATATTGATGTAGTTGTGGAGTTGAGTCAATATGCTCAACACTATTCAGGTGAGTGTTATTGACCTGTAAGAGAAATATTATATATAAAACAACAATAAAGTGAAACAATACATTAGCTGGATTAATGAAAGATGTTAGAACCTGGGGTAACCCAGCCTCCTCCACTGCTAAGCCAATAGCTGCTTGCACACCCCTGATTTTCAACACTCTCTGCTCCAAGTTTGTTAACTTTGTAAACATAGCAGGGTCACCATTATCATTACCACCGGCATTAGCTGATTTGTGCAAGCGGGCAGCTTTTTTTTTTAGTGTTGTTCTTAAAATCACTCCATACCTGTAGCAAGCATGCAAAACAAGATTATCACAACATGCTTTTAACCAAAATAAGCAGTATAAAAATTTATACAAACTTTCTTCCACTTTTCAGTAATCTTTGTTCATCCACTGCCATCGCTGTTTAACAGCCGGGTTAATTCTTCCCATTTCTGAAAATTTTAGACTGCCTCCATTACATAAAAGTTTGCTGAGATCTCCATTCCTAAAAAGCAATAAAATTAATAAGTCTTTTTTTACTGAACTTCATTTTGTGTTTACTAACACTAAATAAAGTAAATACTACTTACTGCTCCATAAACGTCACCATTAGTTCGAATTGTGGTGAACTTGTCTTCATTTTGGACGTATGTAGAAATCAACAAAAGATCGCAACTTTTTTATACTTTCTTTTTAAAACAATACAAATTATAAAGTTAAAAGTTTTTGTCTGAGGCGCTGTCCGGTAATAATATTGACGTCACGCATCTTCGCGGACGTATAGTTCATAAGTGCGCGCACGGCACTTGCATCGTGGTACACCATAGCAGCATCATAAGCTGCGGGCATGATAGCATCATTATTTATTATTCTTCCAGCTCTAATAATAAGGCCAGGTATAGGATTATGTTCAATCAATTGATTGAAAAAGTCAGGGTCTCGGTTGGCTCTTGCCATAACGGTACGCAGAATCAACAAAAGATCGCAACTTTTTTATACTTTCTTTTTAAAACAATACAAATTATAAAGTTGAAAGTTTTTGTCTAAGGCGCTGTCCGGTAATAATATTGAGGTCACGCATCTTCGCGGACATATAGTTCATAAGTGCGCGCACGGCACTTGCATCGTGGTACACCATAGCAGCATCATAAGCTGCGGGCATGATAGCATCATTATTTATTATTCTTCCAGCTCTAATAATAAGGCCAGGTATAGGATTATGTCCAATGATTTTGCGTTGTGCTTTTATTTGTTAAAAGAGTTCAGTTAGGTGCCAGACGAGAGCGAAATAAGTAGTGTCTCGGTCAATAAAATAATTCTTTATTATGGATGTAGTGTTATGGGGTGCTTGTGCAAGTACGCTAGTGAATATGCAGTTATTGTTATTAAGAAAGGAAAAAAAGCGCCGTTGGTGGACACATCCTACTACGACGCTACTACGTCGTGAAAGTCACGGACATTTCATCCAGATTGGTTTGAAGATGAATATTTAATGCCAATTCCTGTTTTCGATGAACTGTTAAGTTTACTATCAAGAAACTTATCAAAGCAAGATACTAATATGAGGAAAAGTATCGGGCCATGTGAAAGATTAGCAGTAACACTACAGTAAGTTTTAAGCAGCTTTATTTGTGTTAAACGCTTACATCAGTTATATAAATCGTAAAGTTTATATTCCATCAAAGTGTTCTAACATTTGAGCAATATCGTCATCGCTTGTTGGTGTAGATGTACGAGAATATGATTCTTACAATGTATGTGATGGTGGTATGTATTTCTTAATCACAGCCATAATCTCAGTTCTGGCATCAATTAAATAATCTTCTTTTATTTTGTCCATAAGTGGTAGCATCGAACGGAAAAATGGCTCATTTCCACGCTCGTCGTTATATTGTCGTTGAGCATTATTTTTTTTGTATATCTATGCTCTCGCGCATAACATTCGATATCTCTTTATTCGATTCCAGAAACATTTGAACTAATGTTTTCTTTTTATTAGACGTGGATGGTTCAGAAACACTGGGGGTGGTATTAACCGAACTGTCGTCATCCTCTAAAACATCTTGACTGTCTTCATTGAGCATGTTTGACGATGTTAAAGCGTGTTCTGTGTGTTTCTTTAAAAAAAGTAATGCATCATAATGGAAATACTTTCGTCGTTTTGAGGCAGCTTGACCGGATTTTGAACATTGCTGCAACTTTAACTCCTTACGAAATTGATCCCTGAAAGATTTCCATTTTGTCATTAACTCAAGTCCTGAAATAAAGAATTGTTAAATTAAATTTTATTTATTTAGAATAGCACTGAAGCACTTTTACAATCTGGCTAGACACAAGTGAACCAAAATTGATTGTTATTTGTTTTTCGTAAAAATAATACAGTATATTGTCCAAACATGTGGCAGTGGTGGCAGTGATTCGTGTAGGCTCCAAGAACAAGTTCTTCAGATTGTATGATTGAAAAAGTGCCTTGAACCAATGAATCCAATAGGTTAATATTGAAGTCACCACAGATGATGACCTTCTTTTCTGATCTTGTTACTTTAACTAATACTTCATCCATAACACGTTCAAAACAATCATACATAGCTGAAGGAGGTCTGCATACACATACTACTATGAAACCTTTTAGTTTTAAACAGGCTATTTCTGTAGTTCGCTCAACTGATAAACTAACAATGTCATGGCGCTCTTTAAACTTAAGTTTCTTATTAATGAGTATCATAGTGCCACCATATATTGCTGTTCTTCTGCTGAACGAGCTGCCTACCTGGTGGTGGTCAAAATTGAACATAAACTGATCCCCTTTTAGCCAGTGTTCAGTAATACAAAAAATATCAATTGCATTGCAATTCATGAACAGTTCCACTTCCAAGTCTTTGCCCATCATTCCTCTAATGTTTTGATGCACCAAATTTATATTATTTATCTTATTATTTTTAATAAATTGACTGTGATTGAACTTTCTATTAGTGTTCAAATTAATAGTACAAGAGGTAGTCTCTATTGTCTTATCAGTAAATTTAAATTATTTGAAATGTCAATCTCATTATTATTAGATATGTCATTTAAATTTTGAAAAATGCCTAAAGAAATATCTGCCAACGGATTGGCAAAGTCGCTATGGGTAATGTCAATTTGCTCAATAGAAGCAATAGGTTTAGCCAAGTTCTTGGCTGTAGTGGAAAAATAATATGATAGCGAAATTGCTATCTGTCTCTTATAATAATTAGAAAGGTAATGTCTACCTTTTGTTAATGAAATATTATTACTAACAAGCTTGTTAGTGTCGATTAGATGTAATTTATTACAATAGGGTCCATTTATTTGGCAAGTTAGGTTATGCATCATTATATTTAAATTATATCTAACATTTTTTTCCTTCTGCGACAACCCTTTGCTAAGAGGAAGTGTAAACAATACAATTTTATTTACATCTAACCTTAATAATGATTCAAAGTAGCCGAAGAATTTCTTTTTGTTTATATTTCCCCTGTTACCAACAAAAATGACTAATGAAGTATTTACATTGTGGTCTGATTTGAAATTTAAAACTTTTTCCATAATATCATTAAAAGATGAGTGAGGCATGCAATAATTGCAGAATGAATGTCCCAACTGTGTATTTAACATTATTCCCTCCCATGCCCTTTCCAATTTCGTCACTAAACATTGCTATGTTATCATTTTTGTATTATTTGTTTGTTTGTAAATGGGAGTCCTTGATTTCAGGTACAAAAGTTCTGATAGGTTGTGGTGGCAGCGAGGATGGAGCATGTGCTGTCATGGGGCTGTCTATAGAATACACTGAATCATTACATTTACAGGAGTTAACCAATAACCTAAATAATAAATAAACCTGCCAATAGCCAGCACCTGCTCCCTGCTCTGCTTTTAGGATATTTCATATTTATAGGTAATGTCACTAAGTTGTTCTTTAAGACGGTCAATCTCACTTTGTAATTCTCTTGTATCTTTAATGTATTGACTCGACATGTTGTCTAGTTCTATTGAGTACATAGACACCTGATCAATCAGATGAAGTCTCTGCCTATTTAGTGACATACTATTAATAAAAAAAATTGTTTGTGAATCATTTTTTTTTGTTTTGGTAATTATTTTTTTAACTTTAATGTATTTTTTCAATTTTCTCAAGCTGCATTTTACAATTTTGTTAGGTTTATAAGTACAACTACTAGTATCATCGTCAGCTGTGAGATCTATTACCATAGATGGATGGAGACTGTCAACTACAGCCCGATCCAACCCCGGGGCAACCAACTCAAAATCAGCAAAAAGGAAATGTAACTCGCAAGTTTCATGTTAAAAGTTATGAAACGTATAACTGACTGTGTGGTTGTGTACACACGATTAAATTATATTGTTTTCCTTGCGTATTGTTTAGTAATTCTAGTACAGTGTGGACTGATTCGGGATATTCAGATTTAAATAATTTCTATTCCGCAGCAAAGAAGCATGATGCATGGTGAGTAGTTATAATATTTTAGCCTATTATTTTACTTATTAGAATTTCTTCCGCCGCGACGATCTATCGCTGTTTTGTCTGCGTTCCCGTTGAAGATGTACATGAATAGTAGTACATCTAAGACTTGTGCTAAAAATCTAAAAAAGAAAAAGTGACCGACTACTCCGCCGCATACCTAGTGTCATAATCCTGTGCACGGCGCTGCTGCCAGCGGTGTCTACCGCTACCCCTGAACAGGGGTAGGTCATGGGGCCTTTGGCGCGACACCCCGGCGGTTGGAAGACGGGGCAGTGGGTATTGTTGGCCGGGTGCTCTCCTCCGCAGTTGGCGCACGTAGCGGGCTCCTGCAGAGGCCTGGGGCAGCTCGCAGCGGGGTGCTTGCCGCCGCACCGCACACACGCTTGTCTGCGGTGGCAGTGGTGGCTGGAGTACCTGAACTGCTGGCAGCGGTGGCATTGCGCGGGCCTCTTTTTTCCCGCGGCCAGGCTTCTATTTTCACACCGGGGATTCCTAACATCTCCTCGATGTCGTATATCCCCGGTGTCAGGTTTGGTGTCCTCTTCAGGATGGCGAGGAGAATGCACCCGGGACGGTCGCCGCGACCCCGTATGTTACGCACATACTCGGGGTCGAAGCCCAGGTCTCGGAGCTCCTGCTCCACCTCTTGCGGCGTCGCGTTGCTTGGCAGGCCACGGATGGCCACCTTTAAGCTGCGCTCCTCCGGGAGGGAGTAGGAGAACCAGGAGATACCCTCGTTCTTCTCCAGCGCCGTGAGGTAGCGCTGGACGAGCCGGTACTCCTGGTCGTCTTTGGGCAAGAAGCGTATCCCCTTGCCGAAGGGGCGGGCGTTTGCGGCCCTGCCTAAGATACGCTTGAGCTCTCTCGTGTGAGTGGTCCAATTGGGTAGGTACTCTACTACTAGCGGCGGATAGCGACGCTTAGGCGCCTGGGGCGGCGCGGTAGTCGCAGTTTCTGCGGTACCGGACAGTGGAGGCGGCTGGGGGGGGGCGGGGACCTCGCGATCTGTGCGTAGGTGTCGACCCGCCGGCCTTCGTCCTGCTGTTGCTGCCTTCTTACCACCCGCGGGTCGCGCTGTGAGCACAGCGGGGACCTCTCGCGGGTGGTGAGGCAGGGGCGCTTCCTATCGTCGCACTGTTCCGCCTCTTCGGGGCTGTGCTGACGACGAGTGGGGGTAGGTGGCGGTGGGGCGTCCGTGTCCATTGCCTGCGAGGAGGCGGACAGCGGAGGCGTTCGTGTTGGCAGTCGTTGGCGGGCTAGCCACTCCTGGATCTCACGTCTTGTTTCGGCCTTCATTTGGTGACGCGGGGAGGCTCCGCGGCGGTCGGCTGGGGTGCGCGGCGTCGAGTCTTCGCTCGAGATCGCCGCTTCCGGCGACCTCGAGCGCGACTCGCGGTTGCGCAGTGGCCCTTTGTCGGGGGCGACGCGCGAGCGCTTCCGGTTGGGGCATGGG